ATATATATATATATATATATATATATGTATTTATATATGTATATGAATGTGTATACAGGATGTGTGGAAACTGGTTAGAATTACATTTCACCTTTGTGAAATGCAACATCTTTTAACGGAGCAATACCTTCCACTCCTTCGTTTCCTAACGGTACTTACAGCTCCTCATATCATTGTCTTTAAAATTTAAACACTTAATTTTGACACTGAAAAGCTTGCTGTCTACTTCAATTGAGAAGAGTGGGTCCCCAGTCATTGTTTTAGAGTTGTGCTCTCTCTCATCCGGGAGTTGGTCTCTTCGCGGCAACAGTTTTGATGAAAATCTTTTTAATATCACTCATAGACGGCTTCATAAATAATGCAAATAATTGGCATTGTCTGAAAGTTAAAAAGTGTCTTTATCAGCGTCACTGGGGGAGGAAAGAGTAAATTATTAAGTTGGCAAAGTTGCACAAAACCACTTGGCGGGAGACACGGCCGGCGCCCTCGTCAGTCACAGCCGAGGCGTGGTCCAGGGCGGGCGTGCTGGTGGCGCTCCGGTTAATTGGTATGCTATCTACCGTTTACTTATGTCTTCATATTACAAGGGTGTAAGGGAACTTAGTACCATGATTTGTATGGATGTTAAACCATATTGTCCTGCCAGTCATCCTGATATTGGGCGTATGTTGAAGTCGGTTATTCGTGGGCGAGATGATTCTTGGCATAATTAGCTATGGATATATATGTATTATTTATTTGATATTATGTATGATGACCAAACCACACATCAGAAGATGAAGAAACGACGACGTTTCGGTCCGTCTTGGACCATTTTCTTAATAATTGGCACGTTCATTATTAAGAATAGGGAACGTACCCTTCATCTTCATCGTACCCTTCCCGTGGACGGTGGTGGAAAGGGTTACAGAGGCACACAATCGGTTCAGGACCTAACCCCCCCCCCCTAATGGTCCATTTAGCTGTTCTGAAGTGTAGTTTGGTCATTATTCTTCAGCCACATTATTGTGACTCATCGTCTCTATATTGCGTTGTTTAGGCTGGATAACAAGGTTTTATATTTCTGTAATTTATCGAAGATCGTAACAGTCTTAACTGTAGGCCTAATATTTTGTTACTTTTTGTATGTTTTTTGAAATTCAATTTTGTTGCTTCACTTAGAGATTAATGTAGCTGATATCAGGTAATTTGTTCAGTAAACGTTGTTAATGTGTAAATGGGTTAGTTAACATCCTGTGTGTGGCCTAGGACTAGTGATTCCCTACCAATCAGTGGTTCAACGAGCCCGAAAGATGTACAACTTGCCATCGTTTTTTAGTACAAAATTAAAATGCTTAAAGTTTTAGCGTGATCTATTAATAAAACAATGAAGCATTTTGCAGGTTTGCTTGGTTAAGTATTCAAATTATTATTTAAACAGCCAGTTTGACTAGGGAGGATAAATTTTGTTGATGTAGATTCCTGATGTCTCGCAGAAAGCTGTGTACAATACTACAGTTCTAAACGTCGTACTTGCGTGAGCAAACACTTTCGTATTTAACAAATATAAAACCAAACAAAGGAATAAGACTGTTGTTTGTGGAAGAGTAATTTCGGTTCTGTGCCAATCAAAGATGCTACCACGAATTAAGTTGTTGGGTTTAAAAAGGCAAGACCAAGTTCTGCATTACATTAGGAGACAATTAGGATGAATGATATTGTATTGAAGCGTATTATTTTCAGTTGTGAATGTATTACTAATTAGCAAATAGAAATAAGCCACTTACACTTTTGTAATATTCGAAATTATGAGTTAATTATTATTGATTAACCCTACTGCTTTTCACATCTATTTTGCAATATACCCCTGCAAAAATATCTTCCGCAAACTCAGTATGTGTCTGCCTGGTAGTCTTTCCCGAGATTTTATTAAATATTTTAAGGGATCATAAAAAAAGGTTGGGAATCACCTCCCTAGACAATGGCCACCGATCTTACAGGAAGGGTTTGTATGGTAGCAAAAGGCGTTAATACTCAGATATTTATAGCCTCCTACAGATTCTATTCTAAGATTCTAAGGGGGAGATTCTAAGAAAAACTGGAATCATATATATATATATATATATATATATATATATATATATATATATATATATATATATATATATATATATATATATATATATATATATATAATTTTTTTCTTTGGTTACTGTCTTGATGGACGTGAGGCTGATTTAGCCAGAATGTAACCCGGTATTAAAAACATCTAAGCTGAAGCAGCTATTGCACAATGACGCAAACAGTAACCACTTGTAATTATTTTTCTAAAACTTCCTTTATACATCCACAAAAAAAAAAAAATAAAAACAAACAAAATACCTTTACTTCTGGGACGAAACCAGAGTCTTATGGTTAGAGGCGCAGCAACAGCCAACCAGATATTTTTTTATTTTTTTGTTATCGACATGTGAACTTGAGAGCATCAAGCCGATTACAACTTGGGGAGGAACTTGACGAAAGCCGATACGTGTTGCGGCGACCGGCGACACATGTATTACAACTTGTAATATAACTTTAAAAGAAAATCTTTGCCAAAAGTCGTAGAGAGGGGAGGGGCTTGAGAGAACTTGTTACCAACATTACATACCAATAATATTCGTACATTATAATGCAAATATTACAAGTCCAGAAGTTGACTTCCCTATTGGCTTATTTCCCCTCACTGTTACTATCCCATGGTATATATGATACAATTAATAAAATCTTAGTTCTTTATCATATCTATGGTATTATTTTTAGAAGCTTACTGTCATAATTGTACTAATATATATATTTTCATAACCCTATAATACAATTCTGTAGTCTCACAATATTTCAATATTATTATTCCCATAATATTACAATATTATTATTCCCATAATATTACAATATTATTATTCCCATAACATTACAGTATTATTATTTATAATACAATATTAATTCATAATATTACAATATTGGATAAGTTTAGATTTAGGAAAGACCAGGGTAAATACTGGTTCGGTAACAGGGTTGTTGATTTGTGGAACCAATTACCACGTAAAATAATAGAAGTAGGATCCCTTGATTGTTTCAAGGGTAGGATAGACATATATATGAATGAGATGTGGATATAAATAGGAGCAGCCTCTTATGGGCCAATAGGCCTTTTGCAGTTACCATCATTTATATGTTCTTATATTATTATTCATAATACTACAATATAATTATTGATAATTTTGCAATATTCATAATATTACAATATTATTATTCATAATATTTCAATATTATTATTCATAATATTACAATACTAATATATCACAGTCATATTATGCTCAATATTACAATATTATTATTCTCAACAATATTACAATATCTACCTTTATATTAGTCATAATATTGAACATATTATCCCTACCCCAAAATAGCCTATTACTGTACTTAATATATCATGATAGGTTGTTTATACTTACTAATATTTCTACCTCATATTTATATTCTACAAAATATTAATGTCATCTATTTATTGCCTATATTATTACCACTTGGTGACAAAATATTACTCTACAATATTAATAATCATAATATTTCTACTCCATAATATTACTGACCCAGAATACAGTACTGTATAACCGACCCGTAAGATTATTGCATATTAATATGGTCTCATAATATTACTGACTCATAAGATTACAGTCTCATAATATTACTGACACATAATATTACCAATAAGGTTATTGACTCAAAATATTACCCCATAAGATTGCTGACATATTTCTGCCTCATATTACAAACTCAATAATATTACCCGATAAAATTACCGCTTCACAATATTACTGCCTTAGTGTTACTAACTCATAAGATTACTGCCTCATAAGGTTGCCCTATAAGATTACCGACATAATATTACTCATAATATTTTACTGTAATATTACTCATAATATTTTACTGTAATATTACTCATAATAATTTACTGTAATATTACTCATAATATTTTACTGTAATATTACTCATAATATTTTACTGTAATATTACTCATAATAATTTACTGTAATATTACTCATAATATTTTACTGTAATATTACTCATAATAATTTACTGTAATATTACTCATAATATTTTTCTGTAATATTACTCATAATATTTTACTGTAATATTATCCGTTGTACTGTATTCAAATACTTAATACCAAGTATTGCCACATTATCTCATAATATTACTCTCACTACCCGATTTTTAACATTCTCTCATATTTCTGCTGTTATTGACATGTTGCATACCGTTTTTAGTAGTTTTCAATACCTCACTATATTACCAATATTAATGGTATTATTATTCGTAAATATATTATGTATACATGCATTTTGTAGCTGAGAAAGTTTCAAAGATCACTGGAATTATTATTTTTACTGTATCCACCAACATGTATTATGTATGATATCAATTATATTATGAATGTATGATCATTTGTGAATCTAAATATTAACGTAATATTACTTTTTCTATACTATATTTCCACATGTTTGTATTAATGCCATATTTTATCTTATTACTTCCTCGTAATATCACCATCCTATGATATATACAAGAATATTCTAGCAATACATAACTATGATAGGCTATTAAAAGGTCAACGGTCGTTAATTTTCAAGAGCCATTAATTTCTGGCTCCATGTTGAGTTGTACACATCTGCTGCTGCTGACTTGTAAGACTGATGCTTGTAAACGTCTAGTTGATATTGATTGTTTTATTTCATTTTCCAGATCGGCTGGTGACTTACTGTGATTTTACGCTTGCGAGTGGAGGTTGTGGAGATTCCCTCAAGTTGGTGTTTGTGAATAGTGAATAAGACTAAACCGGTTGTGATTTCTGAGTGATAAGTTAGCAACAAGTCCATCCAGCAATAAGAGCAATAAGACGAGAATCGGAAGTTAAATATATATAAAATATTATATATATATATTTATTATATATATATATATACTGTATATATATATATATATATTTCGGGTGTTTTAGCTGGAGTCTCCGTGATCGTTAATTCGTAATCTTATCAAGGCTGTGAATACCCATCTAGGCAATCGTGTGTGTATATACGGATGAATATTGTCGTACAAGTGAGTAATGTGAGTATTTCTCGTTGGTGCTAAAATCGGTGTATATTTTGTCATAAGTGATATTCGTAAGAAAGTCTGTTGTCTCGCGAAGAGGAAATTGTGAAGGCTTAAGTGAACATATCTGAAATTGTTGATACCATCGGCAGTGTGTAGAAAGTAATCAGATAATTGTGTGGAGGCTGGCCCCCCCACACCTACACCCACCTTCACCCCCCGCCTGCCCACCCCCACCGTCAACACGTCTACCCCTAGGCGTGAACGCCCGTACTTTCGTGAGCCCATCTTCCTCGCTGTGCACCCGGGACCCCGCCCACGCACCTCTCACACGCCCACGCGACCACACGCCCACACCATAGGCGTGGTGGCCCGGTCAATGATGACAGCTTGCACAGTGGGGGAGCCTCACGCCCAACTCATAACCTCGCTCTTCCCTCCCCTCACACCCATAGCATCCTTCGCCCATCATACGCCCACGCCTATCCACCTGCAGGAACACCCGCACCATCCGCCCCATCATCCACCCCACCCACATGGCCACGTGCACATACCTCTGCAAGAACCACCCACCGCCCACATACCGGTCCAGGTGGCTACCCCAAGGCCCCCTGTTCAAGTGCAGATCTCCACCCATGGCCCCACCCACGCTCCCGCCCACTTGCCGCCCAGCGTCCAGCTTAAGGATGTGCCGCCCACAGCTACCTCAGCGGCCACTAACAACAGTGGGGGCCTTCCCAAGTCCCCGGGCGCCTCCCTTCATGAGACAAGCGACATGAGGACATTGTAAGTGTTGATTTATTTGTTGCATCTCGTCAAATCCTCTCATCATATATTGCAAAACTTTCCATCCATCCCTTATTTTGTTCTCAACCCACCCTCATCATACTCTCAACCCACACTCATTATGCCCTCAAGACACCCTGGTCATACTTCAACCTACCTTCATGCCCTTAACACAAACTTAGCATTCCCTCAACCCACCCTCATGCCCTTAACTCACACTTAGCATTCCCTCAACCCACCCTCATCATGCCCTCAACCCACCCTTATCTTATCCAAATGTTGTACACATCCAGCCTTCAGCCTGGTTTCATTTTATCTTTCCCACTTCTTGGCATTTTTGACTCCTGGGCCACATTCCGCCCATTACTGAATATCTGCCAACCTCCCGCCCACTTCTTGAACATATTTACGCCTTTTTATGTACACATCCCGCCTACTTTTGGCCAACATCCTGCCTACATCTTGCAAAAATTCAGGCCACTTCCTACCTACATCCTACTAGGTTACATCCCACTTCCTGCCTTCATCTCACCCAGCCCACTGCCAGCCTACATAACGCTCCATCCCAACCACTTTTTTTCTATCAACATGGTACATCTGTATTTATGCAGTTACGCCTTTAGTAAAAAGAGCTACTAGCTACGAAATGCTAAAAAGGTCCCCATCCCCATCTCATAGGATGGTTAGTCATTCAGAACATGTGATCAGTAGCTTGTACTGGTGAAGTTTATGAGGAAAATGACGATATCCTCGTTGTTGTTGCTTAAGATTCAGCTAATATAGATTCAATATATATTTAGATTTAAGAATATCGATTGACTTATATCATTATACAAATTTTGTGATCCGTTAAATTTTTTAAAATCTTTTATTAAAATTATATTTATAAAATTATACTGATATTACTTGACAACTAAAAGTTTTCTCCGAAGAACAGACCAAGGGGGGGGGGGGATTAATGGAAAAAAATTGTTTCTTCTGATAAAATACAGCAAATTACAGCTTATTTTTCTTGTGCTGTATTACCGGTTGTATTTGTAAAAGAAGAATTTTGCGATTTGGTCATGATCCTTCATTATAACGACCCGCTCATTAACTCCAGCAGACTTTAAGACTGACAGGAATGGGGAAAGCTGTGAGAGTGGGGGAGAGAGAGTGGACACTGAGGGTGGGGGAGAAAGAGTGAAGGTAATGGTTGGGGGGAAATGGGCGTGAAGAAAGGGAATAAAGAAAGAGTGGGTTAGAAAGTGAAGGCCTGAGGTAGGGAGAGAGAGAGAGAGAGGAGAGGGAAAGAAAAGGAGGGGGGTAGAAGGGAAAAAAGGAGGGTAGGATGGGAAAGAGGCAATGTGGCGGAATGGGAGGGACAGAGATAGGAGGAGCAAGGAGAGGCATAGGAAGAAAGAGGAGAGGAGAAAGTTGGAGTGAATAGAAAGAAGCAAGAGTAAGTGAGAACTGGTGAAGAAAGGGAAAGGAGAGACGGGAGAATTAGTGGACAGCGAACTCGGCGATAAATTCGGGAGAGGGGAAGTGGAAATATTTCGTGGAATGATGTGGCGAGAAGAAGGAAGAGAGGGAACGGGGGAAAGAAGAGGAAGGAGAGGGGAAGCCAGTGGAAGGGAAGAGATGGAATACAAAGAGATTAAAGGGGATGTACGGTAATTGGGCGAGGGAAGGAACAATAATCTCGCCGGTAACAACGGGAAAAGTAAAATGGGAGTAAGGGACAAGACCCAAGGGAGGAAGAGGAGCAAGTATAAACAGTGAGGGGGACGTATGAACCTAAAGAGAGAGAGAGAGCAAGAGAAAGGGAGAGAAAGAGTAAGAGAGAGAAAGTAAGAGAGAGAGAAAGAGTAAGAGAGAGAGAGAGAGAGAGAGGCTATGACGATACTTCCCAGTTTATTCAGAGATGAGAGTCATGTGTAGTTGGTCTGTGTTGCAGCGGGAAGTTTGGAGTGAAATCTGCGGCTCATGGAATTACTTAAACCTTGATGCGTGCGGTATTTGACCTTAAAGCCAAAATTCACTTCAAATGTTAACATATATTGACATTTATCCTGTGACTTTAAATTTAACATTTTGATGTTGACCTTTGTTCTGTGGCATTTGGCCTTTGGTGTTGACCATTGGTCTGTGCTATAGACATTTGTTTAGTGGTGTTGACCCTTGACCTGTATTCATATTTGGCAACGGTTATGATTTTAGTCTGTGGCGCCCACTGAAGCCTTTCTTAACACCACTCAAAGGCTGCTCCGGTTATTAGATGATATAAACAAAACACAATTCTTGAAGGTCAAAACATAATTACGAAATCCGAACCAAACAAAACAGCGATCTCTGATATTAACATGTGACTTCTATACTCAAGAAAATTAGATATTAAAAAGAGTTGAGAGCAAGTCGTCTGTATTTCAAGCCAGTGGACTATAACCCAAGTTTGTTGCCTCACTATTATGAGAAATGCGTTTTAGACTCATTTTTTTGTCCCCAAACGTAATAATGCACTTCATTTGATGACTTTGAACGACATGAACAGTTTTCAGCTGCAAAGCGGGACTCAAACTGCGGACCAAGATGTTTGAGGCATCTTGTTTCACATCACTGTAAGTTAAGCCTATGTTTGATCAGCCAGGGAACATTAATGTGTGAGCCGACCTATTCCCCTCCCCCCTGCCCCAACTCTCTCCCCAACCCACTGCATTCTCTCCTTCACATTTCTCTCCCTGAAACTCCCACTCCGTTCTCCCCTATTCCTCTCTCATCCCTCCCCATCCCACCCCTCTTTCCCTATCCCATCCCATCTCTCTTTCCTTACCTTACCCCTCTCTCCCCGTCTCACTCATCCAACCCCACATCACTATCCCCTACCCACTCCTTTCTCCCTACCCTCCATACGCGCACTTGTTGCAGGGTTAAATTCCGAATAAACAATTAGTTTTTTTGTATAACAGTGATAGTTTATGATTATATATATATATATATATATATATATATATATATATATATATATATATATATATATATATATATATATATATATATATATATATATATATATATATATACATATTATATATTGTGAAACTTTGGATAACACTGAAAGCTCTTCCGACTCAATTTCCTTAGTAATAACGTGTCACTTTGCAAGGAAAAACTTCATTACACTCCCAATCTCCTCGTTTTCTTTCATGTTGCAAAGAAAAAGTGTATTACTCTTCTACTCTTCCCATTTTCTTTCAGCTGAGGTCAATATTTTCCCAGCATCCGCGGTCCAGGTGCAGGTAATTTTTCCTCACCTGTCAGTACCTCACTTGGAGCACGCGGGCAGAGAGAGAGAGAGATATGAGGTTTTTCATTTCGTACGCCCGTCCTTCTCATTTTGTCTTTAATTTTCTCTCACACAATCTGTTTGAACTATGACTAGGTTTCATCAATGCTGCTGATGTTCCATATATCAAATAACATTCAGGGCAAGAAGAAGAGGTATGATCATTATGTATAAAATACAGATGAACTAGAACTAGACAAATTAGGCGAAGATAGTTTGTTCCCAGTAAAGATATACAGAATAAGAGGTCATAGCCGGAAACTGGAGACTCGGATAAGCCGTAGGGATATGGGAAATAGGGAAATTTAGTTCCAGTGTGAGTGGTGAATACTTAGAGTAAACTGGACGATATGTTGGGGGGGGGGGGGAGGAGGGACACTTACTGTTCCCAACTTGTCAGCAAAATATGACAACACAATTGACTATGACGGGTAAATTTTCACCAGATAATTGATTATTAAGAGATGGGCCCAAGAGTTATTCTTCCCCGCCTTAAGCAATATTAGGAAGGCACGCACATGAGGGACCACAGAGCCAAAGCTCAACTAGGGGAGTACACGCACACACACACACACACACACACACACACACACACACACACACACACACACACACACACACACACACACACACACACACAAAATATATATACATTATTCTGAATGATGTTTTTTCTTAAAAAAATGTATTTTAATTTAAAATTAGAATTGATTTCAAGAGCTTAAAATCAATCATCATAATACACAAATAACTAAATCTAATCCATCTATTCTCACGAATAAAATTTTTGTATAGATTTCCGTTCACCAATTTTTCAGCAGTATTCATCGGCTGGATTCATTACAAACATCACAGGGTTGTAAAAACGCAGCATTTTGTTGATTTGTTGAAAGGGTAGGCGGGGAATGGAGATTTTTAGGCAACCTGGTGATTCATACGACTATGGTGGATGGTCACTGGCAGCACAGGACCCACGTGTAGTAGGGGGTGACCGGCGGTACAGGCCCCCTCCTGTACTAAGTGGTCACTAGGGGCACAGCACCCTAATTACTGCTTCGTGAACAGATCTCTAAAATATAAGGAAACGTACTCAAACGTCTGGTCCTGCCCGGGAGTCGAACCTGGGGCCTTATCTTTGAGAGTTAGCTGCAAACGAGCATTATGGTAAATGGTTAACTACCACAGATAAGTTGTGGAATTAAATATAGCTGCTAAATATACTGTTTCTTAACAATTGTCACGTGACTTAATCGTTAGCGTGATATTGGGTATTGATACACCCGCGTCCAATACCCAGTGATTCACACTAGATATGAATAAGGTCATGTGACAGGTTAAGAAAGAATTAGTACGCTTCAACAGCCTCGTTCATTATCACATTGGTTACTGTGTTAAAGGTTTAATAACCAGCTTGTGTTAAGGGTTTAATACTCAGCTTGTGTTAAGGGTTTAATACCCAGCTTGTGTTAAGGGTGTAATACCCAGCTTGTGTTAAGGGTGTAATACCCAGCTTGTGTTAAGGGTGTAATACCCAGCTTGTGTTAAGGGTGTAATACCCAGCTTGTGTTAAGGGTTTAATACCCAGCTTGTTTTAAAGATTTGATGTCCAGCTTGTGTTTAGGGTTTAATATCCAGTTTGTTAAGGGTTCAGTGACCATTTGGTGTGCCTGTCTCG